CATCGAGGAAATATTGAATAAATCTTACCGAATGCTGGGCTTCGTTACACGTATAACAAAATCATTTAAACACAAAGATACTCTTACCTGCCTTTATCAGTCATTAGTTAGATCTCATCTAGAATATGTGTCCCCCGTTTGGAATCCATTCTACTCAGTTTATGAAGATAAAATAGAAAAGGTCCAAAAGAAATTCTTACGTATTGTTAACTATCGAATGCATTCACCTCGCGTTTCCTATGAAAATCTCTTAACAAAATATCAAATGCTGTCATTAAAAGACCGACGCACTTTAATCGACGCCACTACTTTTAGGAATATCTGTGTTGGTGAGATTAAGTGTTCACAGTTATTATCCGAGGTAAGGTTTCGAATACCACCCAAAAACACACGATCAAAAAATCTATTTCATATACCAAAAACCAGGACCAACATTGGTAAAAGAGCACCAGTACACAGAATGTGTGTCCTCCACAATAAAATGCTTAACGACATCGATATTTTCTCCATCTCCCGTTCAGCTTTTAAAACTAAATTAAAAAGTACTTTAGTAGCAATCATGAATTAGATATATAAGGATATTTAGTATTTATTATTGTACATGTTAGATGATTGTTTTCAGATGATTGTTTTCTTTTTATTTAAGTACAGACTTGTTACCCTGCTTGTTGTGCAGACGATACCAATTACGACCTGCTTCATAATATAAATATTATGTATGTTCTTAGTGAGACAGCCTATAGGAAACAATTGTAATTACCATTGTCTTATTTTACTTGTATATTTTTCTTTCATATCTTTTGTTTCTGTTTTGTCTCCAATAAAGTAAATAAATAAATAAATAAATAATACATGCACTGCAATACACACGTACATACACTACAATACACACGTACATACACTACAATACACACGTACATACACTACAATACACACGCACATGCACTGCAATACACACGTACATGCACTGCAATACACACGTACATGCACTGCAATACACACGGACATACACTGCAATACACACGTACATACACTACAATACACACGTACATGCACTGCAATACACACGTACATACACTACAATACACACGTACATGCACTGCAATACACACGTACATACACTACAATACACACGTACATGCACTGCAATACACACATACATGCACTGCAATACACACGTACATACACTGCAATACACACGTACATACACTACAATACACACGTACAAACACTACAATACACACGTACATACACTATAATACACACGTACATACACTACAATACACACATACATGCACTGCAATACACACATACATGCACTGCAATACACGTACATACACTACAATACACACGTACATACACTACAATACACACGTACATACACTACAATACACACGTACATGCACTGCAATACACACGTACATGCACTGCAATACACACGTACATGCACTGCAATACACACGGACATACACTGCAATACACACGTACATGCACTGCAATACACACGCACATGCACTGCAATACACACGTACATGCACTACAATTCACACGTACATGCACTGCAATACACACATACATATACTACAATACACACGTACATGCACTGCGATACACACGTACATGCACTGCAATACACACGTACATGCACTGCAATACACACGTACATGTACTGCAATACACACGTACATACACTGCAATACACACGTATATACACTGCAATACACACGTACATGCACTGCTATACAGACGTACATGCACTGCAATACACACGTACATACACTACAATACACACGTACATGCACTGCAATACACACGTTCATGCACTGCAATACACACGTACATACACTATAATACACACGTACATACACTACAATACACACGTACATGCACTGCAATACACACATACATGCACTGCAATACACACGTACATACACTACAATACACACGTACATACACTACAATACACACGTTCATTCAATTCAATACACACGTACATTCACTGCAATACACACGTACATGCACTGCAATACACACGTACATGCACTGCAATACACACGTACATACACTGCAATACATACGTACATGCACTGTAATACACACGTACATGCACTAAAATACACACGTACATGCACTGCAATACACACGTACATGCACTGCAATACACACGTACATGCACTGCAATACACACGTACATACACTGCAATACACACGTACATGCACTGCAATACACACGTACGTGCACTGCAATACACACGTACATGCACTGCAATACACACGTACATACACTGCAATACACACGTATATACACTGCAATACACACGTACATGCACTGCAATACAGACGTACATGCACTGCAATACACACGTACATACACTACAATACACACGTACATGCACTGCAATACACACGTACATGCACTGCAATACACACGTACATGCACTGCAATACACACGTACATGCACTGCAATACACACGTACATGCACTGCAATACACACGTACATGCACTGCAATACACACGTACATGCACTGCAATACACACGTACATGCACTGCAATACACACGTACATGCACTGCAATACGCACGTACATGCACTGCAATACACATGTACATGCACTGCAATACACACATACATGCACTGCAATACACGTACATGCGCTGCAATACACACGTACATACACTACAATACACACGTACATGCACTGCAATACCCACGTACATACACTACAATACACACGTACATGCACTGCAATACACACGTACATGCACTGAAATACATACGTACATGCACTGCAATACTCACGTACATACACTACAATTCACACGTACATGCACTGCAATACACACATACATGCACTGCAATACACACATACATGCACTGCAATACACACGTACATACACTACAATACACACGTACATGCACTACAATACACACGTACATACACTACAATACACACGTACATGCACTGCAATACACACGTACATGCACTGCAATACACACGTACATGCACTGCAATACACACGGACATACACTGCAATACACACGTACATGCACCGCAATACACACGTACATGCACTACAATACACACGTACATGCACTGCAATACACACGTACATATACTACAATACACACGTACATGCACTGCGATACACACGTATATGCACTGCAATACACACGTACATGCACTGCAATACACACGTACATGCACTGCAATACACACGTACATACACACAATACACACGTACATACCACTAACACGTACATACACACACGTACATGCACTGCAATACACACGTACATGCACTGCAATACACACGTACATGCACTGCAATACACACGTACATGCACTGCAATACACACGTACATGCACTGCAATACGCACGTACATGCACTGCAATACACACATACATGCACTGCAATACACACGTACATGCACTGCAATACACACGTACATACACTACAATACACACGTACATGCACTGCATTACACACGTACATACACTACAATACACACGTACATGCACTGCAATACACACGTACATGCACTGCAATACACACGTACATGCACTGCAATACACACGTACATACACTACAATACACACGTACATGCACTGCAATACACACATACATGCACTGCAATACACACATACATGCACTGCAATACACACGTACATACACTACAATACACACGTACATACACTACAATACACACGTACATACACTACAATACACACGTACATGCACTGCCCGACATACACACGTACCCAATACACACGTACATGCACTGCAATACACACGTACATATACTACAATACACACGTACATGCACTGCAATACACACGTACATGCACTGCAATACACACGTACATGCACTACAATACACACGTACATGCACTGCAATACACACGTACATGCACTGCAATACACACGTACATGCACTGCAATACACACGTACATGCACTGCAATACACACGTACATGCACTGCAATACACACGTACATGCACTGCAATACACACGTACATGCACTCCAATACACACGTACATGCACTGCAATACACACGTACATGCACTGCAATACACACGTACATACACTGCAATACACACGTACATGCACTACAATACACACGTACATGCATTGCAATACACACGTACATGCACTACAATACACACGTACATGCACTACAATACACACGTATATGCACTGCAATACACACGTACATGCACTCCAATACAAACGTACATGCACTCCAATACACACGTACATGCACTGCAATACACACGTACATGCACTACAATACACACGTACATGCACTACAATACACACGTACATGCACTACAATACACACGTACATGCACTGCAATACACACGTACATACACTACAATACACACGTACATGCACTGCAATACACACGTACATGCACTGCAATACATACGTACATGCACTGCAATACACACGTACGTGCACTGCAATACATACGTACATGCAATGCAATACATACATACAAGTACGCTTGCACGTGATGATAGACAATACCTATAGTCACAAACGTATAATGTGTTTTTAAATCTTTATATAATATAATAATAATAATAATAGTGTTCAAATCCCTCTCGGGAATGACAGGAGGTCTATGCCCAGGAGTGGGATGTATAGGCTGTTTATTATCGTTTTTTTATTGTTTAAAGTTGGAATATTTCGGAACTTATAGGATGGAAGGCATTTCATCCAACTCTTTTTTTATAATGTAGGTGACAAACAAGCACACTGTTAACCTGATGTTAAGTGTATACTGTGGCTCATAGACATTTACATTTATCCTCCATTAAGAATCAAAATGAAAATGTGGTGTACGGACCCTGAGGACTGACTAAGATGGAATGCCTCATATCCAGTAATTAGTGTATCCAGTTCTGTGCACTCACGATATGAAACACAGTAGCATTAAACTGCTGTTTTATCCTGGTACTTTACAATTATTAATTCAGAATTATTTTCAGAAAAGTGAAAAGAAGAGCAAAGTAAACGCTGACGCCGGCTCCACACCGGTGCGCGACAGCCTCTCCACCGAAAGACACCAATGTACGAACACGGCACAGCAATATTTACACTCGGATTATATTATTATTGTATACACTGCATGTTTACAAACAACGGTGTTTTAGTATAAACGCTCCGCATTCTGATGCGCGGTCAGTGTCACTGTGATTTCCCTCTCATGTCGTTCGCATGGTGTTTCCGAACGGTTCAGCCCATGGAGGTTAGAGAACAGGAGAACGATCGCCGTAAAAATAGTGTCCCAGAAATATGGACACCATCAGTGAGGCGCTGAGATCACTAAGTGCAGTCAATAAAAGTCATTTTCAGTCTATTTTTCCGATCAGATGCTCAACCACTTGCACATCCACGCACAATAAAATATTTCTCCACTTTTGTTTTTTTTTTGTCAAAAATTACAAAATTACGGAGCATGAAAAATTTCTCATTAAACAATGAAATGAAAATTTATAATAAACAGCTAACTTCGCAGTCACTACTCAGCGACGTCAGCGCCGCTATGTATTCTACAATTTTCAAGGACAGGCGGGCTATGCTTTAGTACGTAGTGATCGTGCTCCTGTTCTCTAACCTTCATGTTCCCGCCCGCGCGCCAACTTTTTACCGATTTTGAATTTACGACGTGTCTGTAACGAGGATAGGACTTTCCGTGGAACGCTTGTTTTCTTTTACTCAATGGAGTAACATCGTGTGACAGTGACGATTATAATCGATTAGACTCAATTGCGATGCACTCTTGCAGTTTATTATTTGTTAGCAATTGTTAGACTCCATTGCACGGGTTACCATATTTTGATAATTTTCATATTAAAAAAATAGGTATTTGATAATACTAGATATTTTATTAGAATTATTCTAATAATTTATTAATTATTGAATTAAAAAAAATCTTAACTAAAAATTTAGATTTTTATGGCACTCAAAATAAATTTAGTTAAATATTTGGTATATAAGAACAATGTTTCTTTTTTCAGAATGTTGTCCAAGTTGTAGATAATTATTATAATCTTTCAAAATTATTTAATTTAAGCTGAAAAAAGGGTCTAAAATTCGAACATGATCGGAAAATTGCCTTGCCGGTGTACATACCGTTATTTATGTTAAGGATCATTGGTGCACAGCGGTTTATTGGTTTATTGGAGGCTAGTTATGGTATTGTTTTATTCTCTTTAGATCGAGCACAAGATTTAACTTTATCTAAAAGTCTATTAGAAGTTACGTTTATGTACTTTAATAATTTTTTAACATAATGCATATCACTTACCCTAAATGTGTGCAAGCATGTATGCTCAAAATAGCCAAATTTAGAAATTTTTTTTGGTTTTTAAAATATATTTCTATATACATTTTCATAGATTTATAATAGCGTTTTAGCTTATGTTTTCAGCTATATTATATATTATTTTTGCAAGGATATATTGTTATGTCTGTATATTTTTGATTACAGAAATATTTTTCTACACTATACTTTCTCGAAAATTATATAATACTATATGTGATTACTAAGTTTCCTATTGTTTTTTTTTGTTCTATTATTAGTTTTAAGTTATGTTTTAGTTTTATGGATGTACGTCTTCCAATGTTTCAATAGTCTTTTTTTGTAATATTAACCAAACGTTTTATTGAATGACTTATGTTTTAAGCAGCTATTTACTTGTAGGGCGTACTTTTTGACTAAAAACTATAACAAATAGTAAAAGAAAAGCTTTGCTGTAGGTTAAACTTAGTTATTTAAATGTTATTAAGTGTATGGAGCTTCTAGAGTAATTTTAAGGTCCAAAGATTGAAGTTACGTCGCCGTATGTGATACGGGCCATATGAGGGAATATCACATTTAGCAGTATTTCATTTTTTTTTATTAAAAATATATTTTTTCGGATAATCGCTGTAATTATATATCTTTCTACCGCTTATTTTAAGGTGAGTTAGCGTTAAGTACAAATGTAACTAACAGAATCGCTCTAACATAATTATTAAACATTTTGTTTATAAGAATGGTTTATGTACTTACCTTTGTGTAAAAGGCTTACAAATCAAGAGATTTATTATAATATATTTGCGTTTTGTTATTTAGTTTTTTGAATCTTGTGAAGTTTGGTATTTATTTATGTATTTTTATGCATATAAAAATTAAAATGAATGTCAAATCGCATTGTTATCGGTAGACATATGTTTACGTATTGGACATAATTTTATTAAATAAAATATTTAGCATCAATTTATAATTGTACTTTACAAAAATTCTAATATTTCCTGTTACTATTTCATAATGAGACAGTAACATTTTTGACATTTATAATTTTTGTCGTGTTTAAAAATACTTAAATTGGAACAATAACTAATAACGCTAGTAGAGTTATGTATCAGACAAGCTTAAGTTCTCGTAAAAATGATTTCTTGGCGTAAAGCGAATATTGTTATTTTATTATTTAGCTTAAAACCGTGTATGGTCCTTAATATAAGAATGTCGAAGTTGGGAATGTAATTGTGTTATGTGCCATATTGAAGTGTTGCCGGCGGAAACACCATACTTCTAACGTTACCATGTAATATACTGACCCACAAACTACTCATGTGTCATTACAAGCAAGCGAAAATATCTCTCCTCGTAACTTATAAAGTATCCAACCGCATGTTTTGAGTTCTTTATCGTAACACTTTATCGTTATTTTTTAAATATATATAATTAATGAAATTGTATTTTTCTTTTCGTATTAATTCGTTAAGTTTTAATTTTAATGTATGTAGGCGAAGTATCAAATTGTAGGTGCCTGTAGAGGTCGCCCATTTGTCCGATTTTATTAGTAGGAGTCTTGTTTATTGTTACGAGTATAATAATTTTTAAAATCACACATTCTAGATTTCCGGATTACTATAAACTAAGCCAAAAACAGTAGCTGAAATTTATCTCCACACTACCATTGGGACGAAAATGTTAAGGGATTTTTTTTTACAGTTACTCCGTTTAAGTTAAATTTTATGCATTGTATCTTATTCGTGCCCACATTATTTGTAGGTTTACAATCGGCACGATACAACTTTCATCAACTTTGCTAAGCTTGGGTTCCTGTCAAAAATATTTTAGTAAAATTATTTTCCTTATAATTAAGTCGTTAGACTTTGTTAACTTTTTATAGGCAGCTATATTAAATGTTTAGTGCAATATCGGGCGATCCCTCAGCATCGCTCGGCCCATCATAGAATTTAATTTGGTTACATTAACTCGGCGTCTGAAATACTTACGTGTAACTTAAAAAGTAAAAAAAAACTATTTGGTAGCTATTTAAGTAAGATTTAGCATAACGCGATAACGAAGTGAAACACAAAAGTTACAAAATATATATATTATATATTTATATTAATGTAGACTGCTAAAATTGTGGAGGTTTTTCTTCCTAGCAGCTCTATTGTCTATTTTTGGTCGGATGCAAATTATGTTTTCTTAGACGCGGATTATTTGACTAAGTTATGTTAAAAAGTATTCTCGTTTGATTTACTGTGTTGCCAGTATTAAGATATTATAATTCTTAATCACGTTTATGCCCTTAGAAAGCGCGTGCGATTTTTAAGACGAATTCGTATCTCGAACTAATGCAATTTCGCGTGATTTTTGGATAATATCTACTCTTGTTTTTATTTACGGACACAAGTATTGATGAATGCACAAATTTATGTTTTTAATTATATGAATCCACATTTCATTATATTATATAGTTGCGATATTAAACTAAAGAAAATAAACGCTGTCAAGAAATCCGCGCATAACCATAGAAACATGCTGTCAGTGAATTAATTCTTAGGCAATTTGATTAACATTAAGGAGTTTATTTATATATTAAGAAAATCGCATATATTTCACAGTGAATCTACATAAAGCCTTATTTAAAATTAATAAGAACTTCAGTGGCGTTCTTGGTGCGAATCTCATTGCAGCGTACAAACGCATGACGCCGTTTGCACTTGTTTTTGAAACCATGTTTTTAGCGTTTCTTAACAAAAACGTTCTTACGTTATATTTTTTTATATAAAGCGGCATCGTGCGCTTGTTCTATACGTTATAATTAATCACAGAGTTATTAATATTTTCGCAAAAGGGGTTGAGTGACATGTATATTATATCGCTAGCCGGTCCCCGCTGTCCTCGTACAATTAAGAAATTGCAATAACAAGTGAGTCATGTAATATGTATAAAGTAGTATATAGCATATTTTCTATGTTTTTCAATATTTAGATAAAATACTGCCAGTGTCGATGTGAAATAATGGAATCTATTATGTAAAGAACGTAGTTATTTCTCGATTTCGGTGTACGGAAGCGATAAGGAATCCGACGGTACATTTAATTTCAACACCTTCGAAACAGGATCTTTGGATAGCGTAGCGTCGTACTTTAGTTGTTTTGCGTGATCAGATCCTTGACTAGTGAATAATGTAATGTCCGTTGCCAATAACCAAATAGTATTGAACAATTCCTCTTTTTTTAATATATCTTCATAGTAGATAAGTGAATGTACTTGCGCACAATACTTATGTGAGGACGGTGACGAGTAACTTTCGTTTGTAACTCATTTCAAAGTGCAGAAAAACTGCAAATATTTTTGGTAATATTTTATCTGTGTTAGGCCCCGAGCCAGCGCTGTCAAGCCGTACTTCCCGCTCTAGGTACTTCAGTGATGGCATTTAACTAGAGCGCTTAGTTTATTTTCTAGAGGCACAAAAAGTATTTTCTCTCAACTTTTCTGTAGTACTTCGGTTAATAGGCATATTTTGTATTAGCATTTCTTGGACACATTGTTTAGATGCCGTATTCGAGGTAAGCACCCCACATTGTATTCGTTACGGACTGTGACTGTGGATTACGATGTATTTACTCTTAATACCTACCTTTAAATATATACTGAAAATCTATATTTTTAACAAATTTAATTTTAAAAATATACCTACTAATTGAAATTCCTAAAGATTAAAAAATAAATTTTTAATATTTATGTGTATAGTAGTATTTACTGCGTGGTGATTCTAAAAGTAACAGGCGCTTATAATTTTATTATTTCCTCAGAATCATGCAGAGAATATATTATTTACTGTCCATGAATTTAATAATAATCTATAACTGATGTGTACACAAAAATCAGTATGTTTCAGACATTTTGAATCCGACTTAATGTATGTAAAATAAATGTTGTTTTAAAATTGTGCTATTTTATTGGAGTGACATCATCGTCATTGTTTCAAAGAAAGTGTTCTCGAGACATCGAGATAGAATTGCGAAGGAGCGTAGGGTAACCTAATTCTTTCTGTGGTACGTTTAAAAATAGAAGAGGTTGCGTTCCGAACAGGCGTTTCGTCTTTGATGACAGCAGTAGCTTATAATTATTGACTCAATCAATGCACATGACCGCCAATGTATATAATAATTCTTCCTTAGAGGATAATAAGGTAAAAGGTAGAAACTTCATAGATGTTCGAAGCTATATTTTGTAACTTTTCCTTGGGGACCATTGGTAAAATCCATACAGTCGTCTGGTAAAAACTCAGTAGCAAGACCAGAATTCATGTTGGAGATTAATATCTACAGTATCTTCAATAGATATGTTATAGGTTACTAACAATAAAAAACTATAAGTCGAAAAGTAAAACTTTATTTTAACCAAACGTCATGAAACACACATTCGGCGAAACATACTGTAAAGAAAGGATGTTCACTTAACCTAAGTTAAAAAACATTCGACATTTAAAAAAAATTAGAAATTACCTATTATTTGTTTATCTATGGTGAATATTCGAAACGTAGAGAAATATTTTTGTACTTCTCGTAACGTTTCATGTATTACCCAACACATTATCAAATAAATTAGTGTTGAACAAAGAAAAACAAATGTTTAATTTTTGTTAAGTTGGTTATAAATAAAAACAAAAACACCTAAAAACATTAAACTGCCATTTTATTACTTATATTAATATACTAGACGCATGCAATAAAATCAATATATATAATTAAAAACCATGAAATTATTTTTAAAAAGGACAATTTTTTTTTAAATTAAACCAATTTGTAAACGGATAAAACATTTATAACGCTTACAAAGTAAACTTAGTCTTTAAAAGTATATATTAAAAATTATCATTATTCCAATGCAAATTTCTGCAAGAGAATTAATTTCAATAACTACACTCGCAAACTCACACTAAGCGTATCGTAACTAAATAACAGTACAGCGTAACTATATACATACACATAATATACGCATATTTATTATCTTATTGTCGAACATAAACTACTGACAATGCATTTTTGGGACATACTGAGGTATTATAAAAACTCGTAGAATGGCATTTAGCCTCTAAAAACAATTTAAAGGCTTCAAAAAGTTAAAATATTGCAAAACAAAAATACGCGCGGCAATGCAAAATAAGTTATTTATTTAGTTCTGTAAAAGACTAAAATTATTATTTATATAGTATTTATTGCCTTTGCATTGGCACAAAAAAAACATAATTAAGTAAAAACATATTTACAAAAATATCCTTGGGATATTAAAGGAAAAAAATTTCGCAAAAGCAGAAACAAGCCTATATACATTTTTTGTTAAACAAAGAAAGTTATGTGTTGAGCACTAATAGTGTTAATTAAAACTTACAGGTCATGTTGACAAGCTAGATTTATAAACGAGTTTTTAGACAAACAAGTTTAAGATTTACAAACAAACACATTACACCACTGAAAAATCTCAAAGAAGTTGCTATTTCATAATGCAATTGTAAAATACAATCCTTTCAATTGAAGCTAATTATGAATCACGGTAATAGCTATATTAAATAACATGATTTTTTTTGGTAACATGACAGCTCGTAAAAATTCTCAAAAAATATTAATAACAGTATAGCACTCACTCAATCTTCATTATACTTTAAAATTGTTTACCTCGAATAAAATACCTATTAGTAAAAATTTGGCACATTGCGATAAGTGTACCTTACATAATAGCGTCACTTAAGAGTATTTAAAATTCACAACACATGTTGGTCCCAAATATTCAAACAGTAACTTACATATTCCACACTAAGTTCTAAAACTTTTCTATAATAAATGAATTTATATCCAAAATATATTACAACTTCATTATCGTCACATTTTTAATGACTAATCCATTTAAATAATTAGGAAATGTATATTCGTGTTATACATTTTCTAATTATTTATATTGAGGCACATCTTTTTTTAAACTTTCGATTAACAAGTAACAGAATTTTTGAATTAATTCATTGGGACCTCAAGTACTTAACCACACTCTCTTGAACTTTTAAGGCAATTATTTTAAACCAAAGGAATAAATAAATAGTATAAAATGGCCATTAAGTTTTAAGTTTAAAGTCATTATTTTAAATTTAGTTTAAATAATTATTTACAGAATAAAAACTGAAAAGTCACATGGACTTCTGAGTAACATAATATTTCTGAATTATCAAAATAAAAATTTATTGAACGTAGCTATAACAATATTTGAAAGTTTAAAAACGTTAAAAAGATAATATTAATTTAATTATAATTGCCTTATTAAATAAGTTACTATAAAATTTCATAAGTATTAAAAATCAGCTGGGCTAAAATTTAAAATAGCATGTTCAAAATTAAAATGTGTACCACTATCAGAGTATATCCAAGTCTACCTTGCATTTCTTAATATATACTCATTTCCTATAAATTACTTGAATTAGATCTATTTAATAAATATTTATAGCCCATTAAAATTATATTATATAATTATTATATTTAGTGTAGTAAGAGTAGGAAAAGAAATAAGTGATGGGTGTCTGAATTTTCCTGTTTTTTTTTAAATTCAATTGTCACACTAATTCAATTTAACAAGCACCCAGTCGACCTGACGGTAAGTGGATTCTGTGGCCCATAGATATCTAAATTTATCCTCAATTAAGAATCAAAATGCAGATGCAAACAAATGTGTGGCAAAATGTGGTATCCCGGTAGAGCCGACCCATTTGTGCTACAACCATAACATAGCCGCAGCGTGGCTCTACTACATTATACGACAACTTAATTAAATTTGCGGTTGTTATGCCCTGCGGCAGTTCAGGCAAATCATTATAAATATGAGGCGAGGAAATCTATTGGGAAGGCCTATGTTCAGCAGCGGAACGGGTATTTAATTATTTTACTCTTTGTAGATCTTTTTGGGAATAACAAATTCTATTTTCAAAATATGGCTGATGTTTGTAAGCAATATATTACTTATCAAGACTTATATGTTACTAGCTTGCCAGGCAGACGTTGTAAATTCGCAAAAAAAATTGTGGGTCACTCATGGGCAAAAAAATATTCGATCTCTCGAGTTGGGCCAAACTGCACACGGTGTGCAAATTCGATTAAAATCGGTTAAGTAGTTTAGGAGTCCATCGCGGACGAATGCATTAGCATTGTTTTAAATAATTGTGTTGTATACTCAAGCATTTTTTTAAACATAAACAGTTTGTTTTATGTGCGAAATTTGAATCTTGTTAAATGTGGTTAATACGAAATATTACACTGTTGAATGAAAAGAATCTATAGATTTTGGTAACCGATCACATATTTACAGATATTTTATTACATTTTAAAAAGGCTTAATTATTCTAGCTTTTAACAAATTCATAAATAATAATGGTTTAAAACTTTAAAATTTAAATGGTTTGGTGTTATTAAATCTGGTTGCGGCCATCAGGATCTGCATAACTAAACTACAACTAATTGCAAAGAACATTCTGTTGCAAACAACATTCAACTCTTTAGATTTTGAAAAATTCTTCAGACATGCATATATTATCTAATGTATGTGTTGCAGGGAAAATATTAAGTTTGGTATCGTTCCGGATAAATATGAGTTAAGTTCAGTTTGTTTTACTATTTCTGGTACACATAAATTACATAAAAGACAGTCAAAAGTATCAACAACAGTGTCCACTCATTTTGACCGGTATACAAAAAAAAACAAATTTCCTGAATAGTAGTACTAGTCAACATAGACAAAGAAATTATTTGTCCCGGTGTATTTAGTGGCGAAGGCTTTCCCGGCCGCTGTGGGGGCGCTGAAGGCTACGTCGGAAGTCCTTAGCGCTTCTCCGTGTAGGAACGTAGCCCTAGCACAATCCAGCAGATGAGAAGCGATACCGCGACGACGGTAGTTCGAGTGTGTCCAGATTCGTGATACACCGCACCTTTGTCAAATGTTTAAAATTATACAATTTTAGATATTTTCACAAATAATCCATAAAATGAAATGAAAAAAGACAAAGAAATAAAAATAAATATAAAAATAAAATTAACATTACACTATGAAACAATGTTGAAAAATCAAAAAATGCGCATTTCGATCACTCCGAACCACTCACAACACCCACACACACACAACACACACACACACACACACACACACACACACACACACAACACACACACACACACACACACACAACACACACATACACACACGACACACCCACACACACACGACACACCCACACACACACAACACACCCACACACACAACACACCCAACACACACAACACACCCACACACACAACACACCCACACACACAATACACCCACACACACAACACACCCATGCAATGCACGCAACACATATTTTTTAATTTTTATAACACGACAACAAGGCTATTTTATAACACTCGTTAGGGTAGGCGTTGGTAGATTTCATTAAAAAATCCTAACATTTATATATCTAAAATGTTGTATGTAATATACTTACTTAACTGGATAATCCTCCACGCTGCAACAATCTGGTTCGCCTGGTATTAACTTGTACGCCCTAAGCTTAGGCTCCACAACCAAGCACCCCACAATCTGTTTCTTTTCTATGTATAAGTATGCCTATAACAAAAAAAAAATCTATGTCATACGATGCGACACTGAAAGTTTAAAACTGGCCATTTGTAAACAATATAATAAAAAATAAGTTAAAATTTTGAAAATGGACCTCTCCCAATATTATTGTGTATGTATTTTATTAATTTGTCATTTGTTTACGATTTGGCGGCAAATTGGAAATTGTCTGTGTCACGTCAACATGAATCTAACGCGAGAAAAGAATGAAAAACGATTTTTTTATGACTTTCGACGTCATTTAAGTCAACAAGAAAGTTGTGATAGACTTCGATTGGCCTTTCACGATGAAGCCCCACCTCGTGCCACTGTTTACAATTGGTTTAATGAGTTTAAACGTGGTCGCAATAATCTCACCGATGATCTGCGTGAGGAACGGCCTTCTACGGCTACGACTGAAGATAACATCAGTGTTGTACGGTGTATGATAGAGACCGATAAAAGAGTGACCTATCAGCAGATTCGGTCAGGCTTAGGCATCGGTATGAGTCAAGTGCACAAAATCCTCCATGAACATTTAGAGGTCAAGAAGCTTAATGCCCGGTGGATGTTAAAATTTGACAGAGGCCCAAAAACTTCGTTGTTTTGATTGGTGTCGTGAAATGGTTCAAAGATTTCAAATGTGACATGCTTACGGGTGACGTAAGCTACATTTATTTTTATGATCCCGAAACTAAGAGACAGTCTGCTGTCTGGGTGTTTCCTTCCGAGGAGTTGCCAACTAAAGTGAAGGTCGAAGCGTGGGAAAAAAGATGGTGGTCTCGTTCTTCGGAAGGACAGGTCAATTGTTTTAGAGGATCGAAAACCAGTTACTGCAGAGTGGTACACTAACAATTGTTTGTCACTTGTCTTGGAAAAAGTTCGGGAGAAACGACCTCGCAGTAGGATCCTCCTTCACCACGACAACGCCTCATCGCACACCGCCAAGCAAACAATCGACTACTTGGCGACGTCAGACGTGGAATTACTGGTTTACCCGGTCCGACCTCGCACCTTGCAATTTTTATTTATTTCCGAAAATAAAAGAGGAAGAGTTTTATGGACGCCGAGGAAGCAGTGGCTGCGTTTCAAAATGCCGTCGAAGAGACCTTTAAGGACGAGCGGGTAAAGTGCCTTTCTCAGTGGTACTGAGCACATAATTGTGTAGCGGTGTGGACGTATGCTACAGTACCGTGCGGGTGTATGCTGCAGTACCGTGAAGCGGTGCGGGTGTGCCTGCAGTAGTGTGGAGGTGCGGGTGTGTACTGCAGTAGAGCGTGTAGGTGCGGGTGTGCCAGCAGTAAGGTGCGGCTCCACAGTAGTGTGGAGGTGCGGGTGTGTACTGCAGTAGAGCGTGTAGGTGCGGGTGTGCCAGCAGTAGTGTGGAGGTGCGGGTGTGTACTGCAGTAGAGCGTGTAGGTGCGGGTGTGTCTGCAGTAGTGTGGAGGTGCAGGTGTGTACTGCAGTAGAGCGTGTAGGTGCGGGTGTGCCTGCAGTAGTGTGGAGGTGCAGGTGTGTACTGCAGTAAAGCGTGTAGGTGCGGGTGTGCCTGCAGTAGTGTGGAGGTGCGGGTGTTTCCTGCAGTAGAGTGTGTAGGTGCGGGTGTGCCTGCAGTAGTGTGTAGGTGCGGGTGTGTACTGCAGTAGAGCGTGTAGGTGCGGATGTGCCTGCAGTAGTGTGGAGGTGCATGTCCAGCAGTAGTGTGGAAGTGCGGGTGTGTACTGCAGAATAGCGTGTAGGTGCGGGTGTGCCTGCAGTAGTGTGGAGGTGCAGGTGTGTACTGCAGTAAAGCGTGTAGGTGCGGGTGTGCCTGCAGACTGCAGTAGAGCGTGTAGGTGCGGGTGTGCCTCGGCAGTAGTGTGGAGGTGCGGGGCGCAGAGTGGTGTGCCAGCAGTAGTGTGGAAGTGCGGGTGTGTACTGCAGAAGAGCGTGTAGGTGCGGGTGTGCCTGCAGTAGTGTGGAGGTGTGGGTGTGTGTTCCAGTAGAACGTGCAGGTGCAGTTGGAGTAGGATTCGCGCCAGCACCGTGTAGCGTGTAGCGGTGCGGGTGTGTGCTACAGTACCGTGTAGAGGTGCAGCGCGCGCGGCAGTGCGGCCTTGTAGGAGCGGCTGCCCGAGCTGCGCGTGCACGACTCGTGCCAGCACCGGCATGTAGCGGTGCGGGTGTGTGCTACAGTACCGTGTAGAGGTGCAGCGCGCGCGGCAGTGCGGCCTCGTAGCCGAGCTGCGCGCGCACGACGATCGTGCCAGCACCGTGTAGCGTGTAGCGGTGCGGGTGTGTGCTACAGTACCGTGTAGAGGTGCAGCGCGCGCGGCAGTGCGGCCTCGTAGCCGAGCTGCGCGCTGCACGACTCGTGCCAGCACCGTGTAGCGTGTAGCGGTACGGGTGTGTGCTACAGTACCGTGTAGAGGTGCAGCGCGCGCGGCAGTGCGGCCTCGTAGCCGAGCTGCGCGCGCACGACTCGCGCCAGCACCGTGTAGCGTGTAGCGGTGCGGGTGTGTGCTACAGTACCGTGTAGAGGTGCAGCGCGCGCGGCAGTGCGGCCTCGTAGCCGAGCTGCGCGTGCACGACTCGTGCCAGCACCGTGTAGCGTGTAGCGGTGCGGGTGTGTGCTACAGTACCGTGTAGAGGTGCAGCGCGCGCGGCAGTGCGGCCTCGTAGCCGAGCGGCGCGTGCACGACTCGTGCCAGCACCGGCTCCACGCGCCGCCAGCCCGCCTCGCCGCCACGAACTCGCACGCAGCGCCAGTTTTCTCCACGGTCCACCACACACTCTTCTTTACAACCCTGCATAAAAATTTATGTCTGTATAGCTATTTTTTCCTTTTTCTTCATCGGCCTGTAAGAATTTACTCCTGGATCACAAACCTCTCTCGTTTCTTGGACGGATGGAGAGAATTTGTCTTAATCATCACGCTTGGAAGGCAACGAAAGCCAAATTTCGAAAGTTTTATTATTCAAAGTTTTATGCATAAATCATTTTACAACTTTATACTAATATGTTAATAAAGAGAATCTTATTTTATATGCCCTCTTCCAAACAAAAAAACTTACATTAAACTTGAGAACATCAGTAGCATTGTGGTGAACTAAATGAGCATGCTCATCTTGAGGATCTCCAATCTGTAAATAATAAAAAATGTTTTTAATTGAAACACATCTTTTTATTGCAAGTACTTCGTCAACTAGTCATCTATCAAGAGACGTCAAGATAAATGGAAATATTGTAATTGCCCTACTATTGGGTACTAGTGATATTTACTTCTGGCGTTATAACGATGGTATACCGATATCTATTGAAAGCCATAAGATTTTTCTGGCATAGACATGGCATATCCTGCCAACGTATGCAGTGGCGAAGCTTCTATACAAGCCCAAAAGTCCGGCTTGCCTCATTAAGATGAATCAATCAATTGTATTAAGTAATAAAATAATTCGTAAATTGTTTCAAATTATTTCAAATTTCCCGCGCACTCGTAGCCTTACGAATACTGCTGTCATACATATAAGGAGAGTTGAATTGAGCGATTGGTTTTCTCCCTCCCACGCGTGGGCTTTATACCGGGCTTTCGAGAAGGCGATCGCTCTCTTTCTAACCTGTGGCAAAATGTTCTATAATGAAATATAACTACGATTGTATAAATATCAATTAGTATGGAGCTAAAAAGCCCGGCTTTTTAGTGACCATTAATTTTTTCCTCAGAGCGGGACGCTTTTAAAATTATTATAGTTCTAACACTTTTGACTGCCTTCTTGGTCTAATGGCAGTAAACGCAATTGCTGATCATGTGGTCCCAAGTTCGAAACCCGAGTCGGGTCAAGAATCATTTATTGGGTTTTTCCGTCACAAAATTCTCAGTAGCAGTAGTATTACACTTATTGTATATGTTAGTATTATACTTACGCTATTATTAAAAATCAATCTGGAACCCTTTAATATAGTTTTATAAATAAAACACATAGTTGTTTGAGTATTTTAATGATCAAAAGTGAATTCTAAACATCAAATAAATACTAATTGGAAATATCTTCTTACGTTATTTGATAATTTATTGTAGATTAATTAAAAATTGTCACTTTGTAATTTTAAATTCAAAAGTGTAGCTTTTCAGAATAATCACGTAACTAGACAAGCTATGCAAACCTGGTACGCGCTTTTGTTTGTCAAAGCGGGACATTTTTACGTATTTTGGGGATAGCGCGACACAAACATTTAAATCGGGAACGTCCCTCCTAAAGTGGGACGTATGGTCACGTTAGGTATGAAGTTAGTCGAGAGGGGAGGCGCGCGGCCGACGCCGACGAGCCGAGGATATGTTAGCAAGTTCGTGTCACATTTCAATGTTTTAGTGTTTACATTGTGTCAAAAAGTACTTCTACTTTGTGCATTGTGTGTTGAGCTTGAGCGAATGTATTGCGAGTTAAAAATTTATGCTTTTTTAAAAATTTTTAGTGAAAATGGAGGGAAAGAGTGTTCCTTGTGATGAATTGAAGTGTTTTAAACTTTGTTGAGAAAAAACAGCTCATATCATCGCCGAAACCAACGCCTGATCTGTGTATTTTTCAGACGAGTAAAACCCATAAACAGCAATTTAATAGATCTGTTTACAAAACTCATTGGATTGTTGGCTGCTCACATACCAATAAATTGTACTGTTGGTGTTGTATATTCTTTTCCAACGACAAAACGGCTTGGGATACTACTGGATATGACGATTTAACTAACTTATCTGGAGCCATTAAAAGGCATATGAATTCTCAAAAACACATGAATGCGGTAATTTCGTTTAGTAATTTTGGAAAAAAATCGGATTGAAACATTTTTGTCGCGCCAGTTATCAGAGGAAATTATAAAACACAACATGCGTGTTGATCACAACCGTAGTGTTTTTCAAAGATTAGTCGATATTGTTTGCCATTTAGCACAACAAGAACTTCCTTTCAGAGGTCACGATGAGTCGAAAACTTCATTAAATAGAGGCAATTTTTTAGAACTTGTATCGCTTCTTTCGAAGTACGATCTCGTGTTAGAAAAGCATATACAATATCAACAAAGCGACAAACTGCCGAGTTATTTATCTAGTACAATCCAAAATGGCATTATTCATTCTGTCGCTGATGTAATGCAAACTCACATCGAGTGCGAAGTAAAATTGTCAAAATTCGTTTCAATTATTATTGACGAAACTCCCGATGTTAGTCACAGAGAGCAATTGTGTCTGATTCTCCGATATTATTATGGAAACGATATTCATGCCGGTTTTTTGGGGTATGTAGATGTGTCTGAAAGTCGCACAGCAGACACACTTTGTAATATCATATTGGAATTATTAAACAAACATGACTGCACCACAAAACTAGTTGCGCAAAGCTATGACGGCGCAAGTGTCATGTCCGGTGTCAGAAATGGAGTGCAACAAAAAGTTAAAGATATTTATCCCCAAGCCATGTATATTTGGTGTAATGCACACATTTTGGCATTAATTTTATCTAAATCTTGTAACAGGATTGGGGAAGTCAGCACTTTTTTTCAGCCCTTCAGGCTTTATTTAATTTTTTTAATAACAGCACAAAAAGGTCGTCTTTTTATAATGCACATTGCAGCAAAAAATTGCCTAATGCCCCCGCAACTCGTTGGACGTATACGTCACGAATTGTGAATACAATAGTATTCGAACAAAAAGATAATCTAATAATTTGTTTTCGGATATATGCGACAATCCGCAGAACTGGGACGGCGATACGATCTTGGCCGCCGAGAATTTTGAAAACACATTGTGTTCATTTAATTTCAATTTTTTTCTTTCAATTTTCCAACGGGTATTTGAAAAAACCGACTGCTTGTACAATATTCTACAAAAATCACAAGTTGATGTCGGTTATTGCAGTCATAAAATAAAGGAGTTTCAGACATGGTTACGTACTGAATTTCAGTCAGATTTTGATCACATTTATGAAAACACATTACAAAATACCTCTGCTCCACGTTTGAGACGCAATGTGCGCTGTGCTCAGACAGAATATAAACGACTTTTTGTTGAAATAATTGATAACTAGACAAAATTTTCAAATTAAAATTTTTCCAATTGTTCAACAACAAACTATTCGAAAAATATCGTTCAGATTTTCCTTTAGAGGCATTAGATTCATTATTTGAAAATTACATAAACCATTTTTATAAACAAACATTGAAAAACCAATTGATTTCATTGTATTCCTCCCCTGAATTAAAAGACGAAGAAGTTTTCGAAAATAGTCTTGAAGAGGCCTTTCCCCAACTTTTAAAGTTAGCTTATCTTGTCGTAACTATTCCAGCCACAAGTTCCTCCGCGGAACATGCTTTCTCATCTCTGAAGCGCATCCATACTTATTTGAGAAATACACAAGGTCAAGAGCGTCTTCCAGACTTATCAATTATCGCGATTGAAAAACGGTTATTGGTACAATTAAAACGTTTAAACATTTCAACATTTTACGCGGACGTAATTAAATCTTTCCTTAAGAAAGAGAGACGATTCGATTTAGAATATAAATAATTTGTTTTTTTAATTTTTGTACATAGTTTGTTTGTACTTTGTTCATGCTTTTCTTTTGTTCATGTATTGTATTGTATGTAAACATCTTTTTTTTTCGCTCAAGCAAACCCAAACGGCTTTTTTCAAAGCCACCGAAGGTATGCAATTGCTGATATAATACAATCTATCTAGCAGTGGTATGCCTTCGGTGTACTTTGTTAAACACGTCCTCGACAGAACTGATTATAAAACTGAAGAGTGGAGACAGATCAAGATAGATGTATTTTTAAAATTGCTAAAAAAAAAAAAAAAAAACCATATCTTGGGCTTGCCCCAGTTTGGAGCCCTAGCTTCGCCACTGAACGTATGGCACATGTACGTGACTGTAAGTAGTAACGGTTACGATCATCATCCTTAGCAAAATTTACAATGTGTGTAAAATTATTTTCGTGAGCTATTTTTAAGTAAATACAAAAATCACCTGATAAATAACTCCACACTCGTTGCATTGCGTCGCTCCGAATCTCTTTTGTCCAGCATCGATCACATATTGGTTGTTTATGGATTTTAAGATAGACTTTCTACTCTTTTCTGGACCTAGATAGAAGGTAACAACTAATTAAAAATAATCACAAAAAGCTAGTTAAAACTGTTTATGGATGGCTCCAAGTATATGGTCCATAGATAGAGAGCTAACTGAAAAAGTGGTTAATAGCGCTATATCTTACTGACACATAGACATCAAAATAGGTTCCAGCAGTCCATCTTAAATTAAACCATATTTTGTTATTCTATTTCCGTATTGTATCTTTTTAATTTCTACAACTTAATTCATACGAGATCTTAATGTCTGTATAAAAACAAGTGGCTAATGCCTATGCAGGTAGGCTGGTGACCTATCGGAATCCATATTCATGGAGGTAACTCAGATTTTTTATAACCTATCTCAGGCATCAGTCTCACAAGCAATATTAGGTTTTTCTTACATTGATTTAATGTAAATAAGGTTGTTGTGGGAGTCTTTTATTATTATATTGTTAAAGAATATTAAGATAGTAATTGAATGTCTTACCTTTTGGTGAAGTCGACATACCAGGATTAGGTCGGTTAAATATTGGGAACAGTTTCAGTGGCGTTAGTTTCAGTTTTGTCATTTCCCTATTACCCTCCTTTGTAGTTAAAACTGCAATTAAAGTACAATGATTAATTATTGTACTCCTTCATCATTACAGCCCTTCACAAGTCCACTGCTGAACATAGGCCTCCCCCAAGTAATGCCACAAATCACGGGCCTGGCCACCAGGTCGTCACTCCATCTAGTGGGGGGTCGCCCTACACTACGCCTACCGGTACGAGCCTGCCACTCGAGAACCTTTTTTCCCCATCGATTGTCGGTTCTTCGATCTATACGTACGGCCCATTACCACTTCAGTTTATTAATCCGTTGTGCTATGTCGGTCACTGGTTCTACTGCGGAGATCCTCATTTCTAAGTTTATCACGCAGAAAAACCCCGAGCATAGCCCTCTCCATAGCTCGCTGAGCGACCTTGAGTGTCCTCATACGGCCAGCAGTGAAGGACCACGTCTTAGATCCGTAAGTCATCACTGGCAACACGCACTTGTTGTACAATCTAGTTTTCATGTTTTGAGGTGTATCTAACGAGAAGATGTGTCGTAATTACCAAAACGCTGCCCAGCCGAGTTGAATCTGTTGATTGATCTCTCGGTCGAAGTTGGACTTACCTAGTCGGACTATTTGTCCCAGGTATACGTACTCGTCAACAACTTCGAGTGCTCCCAACAACTATCGGCATAGGTGTGATATGGATATTAACATGATCTTGGTTTTGTCCATGTTCATCTTAAGACCTATCCGTTGGGAGATACTATTGATGTAATTGAACATAGTGTTTAGGTCCTCCAATGATTCTGCCATAAGAACTATATCGTTCTGCGCTCTATCTATCTCCGGTCGTGTCGCATTGCTGTCCTATCGAACTATGAAAGTTAGGGAATAGGATGCACTTGTGGTTGCGCACTATACACCTGTCCGGCGCAGACAGCTAGACTCCGTTGAACTTGTCCTCCGTGACCGGATATTGGTTTGAGATTATTATAATCTAAAGGCTGATTGATTACTACTGCTTTTTGTAAAGTGGTTTACTTTTTAATAAGCATTTAGAAACCACTGCTCGGTATATGGTTTTAAAGAATTTAGAAAAAAAGTTTTGCTCTTTATTGCCATACTTATCATGTGTTACCTATTACTACGTACGGTTTGAAAAAAAGTACTAGTATATGTACAGCTTGCAGGGAATTTCATTATAGCCGTCAAAGATGACAACGCACATGTAACTGTATTTGTATGAATTTAGTTGCTCATGTGCATGGGCTAATGTAGCCACTTACTATCATACTTCTTAATTTACACATGGTAGGGCCACGCTGCAGCTATATTATGGTAGTAGCACGAATGGGTCAGCTCAACTGGGGAAGGATCACGCTCTCACAAGAATACCAGCGTAAAATAGCAGCTTAGTACTGCTGCGTTTTATGGTGAGTGTAGAGATCCGGAGACCCTTTTTTACTGGAAATGAGGCATTCCATCTTAGTCCTCAGGGGTGACAACGCATCTCCGTTTTGATTCTTAATCGAGGATAAATGTAGATGTCTACAAATAAAGCTGTAACAGGTACAAATAAAGCATTACCAGGTTGTGGAATTTGGTTTTAAAGAACCACCAACCAAATTTACTGGGTGGTAGAAAAGAAACTCCCTATCTTTATTTGGTTGTAAACTTTACCAGCTTCGGCCAAATTCATGTAATCTTATGTAATTTTTTTCTTTATAGATTGAGAATTAGGTAAAACATCATAAAATGGTTCAAGGGAGATTGTCAATGCAAGAGCGAGCGCAAATTGCCTCTGGCTACGAAGTGTGGCAATCAATAGTGGAAGTGCAAAGGTGGTGGCGGAATTTCAACGGACCTCATGCTGTTTTGGATCCAAAAACCATTAAAAACTGTCATTCAAATTGATGAAAACTGGATCAGTGGCAGATAGTAAAAGAACCGGCCGTCCTTCAACATCAAGATCAGAAGAAAATATTAAAATTGTTCGAGAAATGTTCACAAAAAGCCCCTACAAGTCAACATGTCATGCAGCTTGTGAGAGCGGACTTACACGGCACACTGTAATGACAGCCCTTAGGTCTATCAGCTTTCGTCCTTGGAAGCCACGTTACTGCCATGATATAACTCCAGAGGACTGTGATCGCCGGATGGAATACGGAGAGATTATGCTCAGATGGCATGGAGATTGTTCAGAACTGTTTGATAACATTATCTGGACTGACGAAGCAATTTTTCACGTTGGGGGCTTTGTTAACTGTCATAACTGTCATTATTGGGCAGAGTTTGACCCCAAAATAACTGCTCAGAAAATGCAAAACCGTTCCAAGGCAACAGTTTGGTGCGGTATGACATCAAGTCAAGTTATTGGCCCTTTTCTTTTGAGGGAAACAATGAATGGAGAGCGCTATCTCAACATGCTCGTAAAAAGAGTTTAGCCAGCTTTGTCAACGATTGATAACATTGAAAATATAATATTTATGCAAGATGGAGCTTCACCACATTTCGCATCGAATGTCCGACAGTGGCTGGATAACCGCTTCCCAGGGCGTTGGTTAGGTCGCCGCGGGTGACACGTATGCCCTGCTCGTAGCCCGGACCTCACGCCTTTCGATTTTTTCCTGTGGGGTTGGGCAAATGATGAAGTCTATCGCTCAAAACATCGCACTCTTGAAGAACTGGAAGTAAGAATTCAGCAAGTGCTAACAAATGTATCTCATCACTTTCTACAAAGGTCCGCAGCATATATGACAAGACAAGAGATTTTGACCCTCATAACAACTTATAATAAACCTAGATAGTAAGTATAGATATATACTAAACTAAACTAAATACTAAGAGTCTAGGAGATAATTTGTTTAACTGTCTTATAACAACCTATCTAATTTTCTTCTAATTTCTCCATCAAAATCTTGGTCAAATTTAGTTTACACTTCTTTTATACAAACACTATTTAATATTACATTAATGGACACAAATTGTCCGGATCATGCCAACTCATAGTCCATAGTTTCTGCTTACCCCTCTGGATAACAGGTTTGAGGGTTTATATATTTTTGTATCTTTATAAAAAATATTAAGTTACAGCCTATGAGCATGCCACTGCTGGGCGCAAAATTTCATTGGTTCCGGCGGTTGCTTACATACTCAGGTTTTTTAAATGTTTTGGCCTTTGATACTGTTAGGTAACTTAATTGGTTTAGGAAGGAAGTCACGCAATGATATAAGATAGTTTTGACATTTAAAAAAGTTGATTTTGAATACCTTCATCCAGACTATATTTAAAGAGAATCATCATTACCTTTAATTTTAATATTTAGCTAGAAATACGGGAGCGTAGGCAACGCTGAGCTCATAAACGGCAAATCGTAGATATGAATTGTTATACTTATAGTTATATTTAAAAAAATAGTGTTGTTGGTATTTTGGTTTATGTTTTACCATAGTGACAAAAAATAACAAATATGTATGTCAGCTATGGAAACTAGTATATTTTTTACTGTTACCGTTATAACCTATCCACTGCTGAACATAGGCCTCCCTCATAGGTGATCTCACGGGGAGGGGATATTTGCCATAGTGGCCATAGATGCCAAGCGGGTTGGCAAACGCAGTTTTTTTATTCATTATTAGAAAGAGGCTGCTGCACATCTGATTTGTTTCCCTCGGCGGCCCCTGCTATGACACCCACAGGTTGATATGGGGTGGTGAACAATTGATATTCTTACACTGCCACCCACGCAGTAGTATATTTTTCTATTTAGACAATTTTACAATTATTTGCATTTATAATTTTACAAAACTGTAAATTTTTCTGAAAATAACTTGTTGCTTCACATCAAAAGTTTGACCAGGTGTCCAGTCTTTTTTCATGAAATACTTTACTAGGAGTAGTAGAATAAATTGGGCCAAACAAGAAAGAACGTAAAACGAATATAAACTGACTCACCAGGACTAACAGGGATATCGGTTTCTGTAGACGCGAGCACAGCTTCCGCGTTGATGTTGTTGGACTGCGCCATTTGGAGTATCTGCTCATCCAGCATCTTCAGTTCCCGTTCAATTTCGTCCAGGTCTGGCAACTCTTCTTGTACTAAAAAATAAAATAATCTGTAGTTGATGGTCATATTTATGCAAAATAATACAAAGTACAATCATTTCAAAAAAATTTTGTAAAATTCGAAAGTACACGCCTAATGTTTCATTTAATTTTGATGAAAAAAGGAAATTACTAAATTAAATCGATTACACAAAGTATAAAAACAATATAGGCAATATGGTACGTTTGTGCTATGTCTATCAATGGCTAAAAAAATAAAAATCATTTTATCAATAGGCTATGTACACGTTCTAGGCTATTGATATGAAATAAGGAAAGTTGATGTAATTCTTAAGCTAATAAAAAAACCCGGACTTCTCAATACGTCAATTTTTTCGGGAGCTATCATGACCATATACAAAATCAGCATACAGACATCCGGAGATCCACGTAAAAATGTTTCAGTATTTTTTTTTCAAAATAGTAATATAAAATGTTTTATAGAAAATATAAAATGAATTAGATAGAGTTTTCTTGATATACGGTTACTAATATTATCATATAAATGCAATATGGTTATGATAAAGGTATTTTAAGAACACAAATTCAAGCAATTTTGACGTGTCGAGAGTAAAGCATTGCCTCAAACGCTTTGCGTTATAAGGCATGCAACATATTAATAGGTATTACTTAGATAATTTCACACTATTCAGGAGGCAAAACAAGTATGTAAAACAGAGGTGCTAAACTTGATTAGCCATAATAGGGCCTTTTACAAATTTGAGGGTATGGTATCAGGCCAGACTAAAAATATATTTGCGCAAAATTAAATGCTGGATAAGAATTTTTAATTAGGAACTAAAAGTTAGCATGGCGCAGCAGGGGCGAATAGGAACGTAATTTAAAACGTAGCGACGACATCGAATTAGTGAAACTTTGGTTTAGAAACCAAAGTTCACTAATCTAACAACCAAAGTTTGGCCATAAACCAGATCTAAAATTTTTGATTACATACTTAGAAGTAGGTAATCAAAAATTTTAGATCTGGTTTATGACCTCTTGATGATGGTTTGGAGGCCGCGTGCGACCTGCGGGAAGTGTTTGACACGACTGATATATATATTACATATATATATATATATTACAGTACAGCCTATATAAGTCCACTGCTGAACATAGGCCTCCCCCATAGATTGCCTCATAGGGGGGAATATGTCATATTTGACAGGCCTGGCGAGCAGGTTGTCAACCGCAGTTTTTTTATTATTTTGAGCTATTGTCAGGAAGATGCTGCTGCCCATCTCCAGCCTGTTTCCCTCTGTCGCCTCTCACGACACCCACGGGACGATTTGGGGTAGTTGATATTCTTACACTGCCACTACATACATACATAAGCACTCACGCCTGTCACCCAGAGGTGTAGGCAGAGACTACAGACTTCCATTTGGCACGAACCTGACACTCGCCTCTTCCACATCCATATACATGAAATGAATATCTGAATTGAAGAGTTCCTTGAACAACTGATAACTTTTAATATATTATATCTACACTAAATCAAATAGCTTTCAAAAATACATTCATAGATAAAAATAATACAAATACCTTGCACATTATCATCTTCCACAACAATAAATCCTCCCTCTACTGGCAGAAATTCTTCAGTTTTTTGCGCTTCCTCTTGACTGACCCCTGCTGTATCTGAGTCAACCATCACCACATCTTGAGGAACAGTAACCACAGAGGTCACCTTATTTGTGTTATCATGCTTTTCAGCTCCTAACTCCACAATAATTGCATCAGAGTCTTGTGGAAGAGCTACGCTTTCAACTGGTATTGCAGTAACTGGTTGAAATATCTGACTGGTCTCCTCTATTATTGTCTTATTGAAGCATGGAACCTCTTCCTTTGGTTTGAAACTCAACTCAGATTCTGGAACTTCCTCTTCTGTCCATTGGCTTAAAAGGTTTTCTATGGTTTGTCTTTCTTCTACGAATGGGTCTGTTTTGTCTGATAAATTAAAACTTTATATAGACACTATAATATGGAGGATGACTAGTAGTCTAGTCAACAAGTTCAAAAACTTATTTACTATTTATAAACTCCCTATCTTTTTTTAAACTAAAGGAAAATTATTTTCAGTATTTTGTTATATATGGCTGTTTTTGTATTTTTTTGCTTTCAGAAAAAAATAAACCGGGGGTTAAAATAGTTTGTAACAAATTATTAACACATTTTTAACAAACCGCAACAAGTGTGCGCAACCAATGTCCATTCGCGCGCTATTACACCTGTATTTTTATTCAGAGGAAAAAAAGGTTAATCGCAAGTGATTCCGTACGGGAAATTTCCGCGACCTGAAGTGTATGAAATTCACGCAGAAATCGACAAAATTTTCCGTGGTGTAAGCTTGAATAAATTATGAAAATGAAGATCGGTGCGGGAAAAGTAATATAGAGAACGCTTTGGTCATTTGCCTCTGACCCAAGAAGAGTTGTGAGAAAACTGACCGGCGTACCCTTTCAAATTAAATTTTTTTTTTAAGAAACAAAATCTCTTATGGCTTGAGGCATTCCCTTATTCTTGCAAAACTTGACTAATTTTACGACGACAATCGTTTTCACAACACCGCCCGTGTAAATGATGTTTTATCTTTACATGCGCGCTGTCTCCCGCACGAAAGTCGATTCGCGCGTTAAAGAGCGTATGTTTAAAGGCAGCTAATGGTATTTTTTTTAATATTTAACTTCTTTATTTGTTATTTATTCATTTAATTTCTTAAAAAAATTTACATCTTTTTTTTCTGCAATAATTAATGTAATCTGTTACATGCAAAAACAGCAATATACATACATTAGTCAATTTTTTAAACATTATTTGAATATTTCACTTCTTATTCATTTAAAAAAAATTATAACAAACAAAATATAAAACTATAATAAACTTTTAATGCGTGATCTTGCTGTGTATATAAAGAGGACTTCAAGGAGTAAAAAAATTATAGGTCAATTATTTAAACTTTTATGTCGACGTTTGTACAAATAGCGACTTGAAAAAAGTTAGTTAATTAATAATCAGATAAGTTTTTGAAAAATCGACATTTTTTTGCCAAGGGTGTTTTATTTATTCAAGTGTTCTGATGACATCATAATTTTTTGTAATTTTTAAATCAATATTTAATAAGTACTATAAAAAAATATGATATACTGTCTTCAGAGGGGATGCGCTCATGCCCTAACGGTCACACGGAGTCCTATTTTCAGCGGCACATATATTTAGGAGCAAGAACAAAAATTAACACGTTTTTAAACTTATTGACTAGACTATAAATATAGAAATCACTAAGTTTGAATGAATGAATTTGAATTAATCACTGAATCAAATTAAATAATCTCTATATATAAAAATCAATTGCTGTCCATTTGTCCGGCAAAATCTTGACAACGGCTAGACAAATTTTTGATGATGACATTTTTTGTGTATGTTTAAGTGGGCCCCTGGATGGTTAAGATTCGTAATTGGACCAGGTAGGTGGCGCTGTTGTCGAGATCCAGAAAACACCCGTGCAAAGCCTTATTATAGTTATTATTAAATAATATTTAATGATTTTAATATAAAATACTACTAATATACACAAACCGTTAAATTCTTTATTGTATCAACCCATACAAGTCAAATACTGGACACGGGCCTCTCCCATTAGGGAAGTCTTTAATTGTTACACTTGGGAAGCGGATTGATGATCCCAGTACCAGATGTCTTGCAGCTTTAACGCAACTGCTTGTCATTGGTTTGGGTACTATATGACCATCTTTGCCATAATATTTTCTTACAACACTCATAAAATAAAATAAGGTGATGGATTCTCTAACAACGCCACCACACTACTAATACATCAATCTCTATATATAAAAATTGATTGCTATTTTTTTTCTTTTTTATAGAATAATGGTTACAAATGAGCACACAGTCAACCTGTTGGAAAGTTGAAGCTGTGGCCCATAGACATCTACATTGATCCTCGATTAAGAATTGAAACGCAAATGCGTTGTCACCCCTGAGGACCAAGATGGAATGCCTCATTTCCAGTAAAAAAGGGTCTACAGATCTCTACACTCACCATAAAAAACACAGCAGTATTAAGCTGTAATTTTACACTGATATTCTGTGAGAGCGCGACCCTTCCACGCTCGAGCCGACCCATTTGTGCTACAAACATAATATAGCTACAGCGTGGTTCTAACATGTATTACACATCCTCTAGTCTCGCAAAAACTCGAAAATGGCCAGACCGATCTTAATGAAATATTTTGTGTGTGTTTGAGTAGGTCCCTGGATGGTTTAAATTCATAAAAAAAGAACACAGCATAAATGCATTATGTTATGCATAACCATTATATTTAAAAATGTGTAAAATATGTTTCTTATGGATACATTAAAGGATTTTGAACTCACCTTGCACTAATTCTGGTGATGAATTAAACATGGAGGTGTCATTCATAGTTGTGTTAGATGTGGTGCTTTTATTTAAAGTACCTGTAATTGTATCAGTAAGAGAAGTATTTAATTTTACGCTGACTGCTGTCTTGTGGTATTTTGGTTTACGAATCTTATGTTTTACGCCTAAGTTTATCTGTCCAGGTTTTCTCTTGCGACGGTTCGAGTGGGAATGAGCAAATGGCCGCCGAGGATGTGCGTTAGTTGCTTCAATAGCATTAGATATTTTACTTGTAATGCTTACGTTCAGTTCTGGGTTTGTTTTACCATAGAATGACTTTGTAGACAGTATTTCTTTGAGTCTGTCACTATTGAATAATGATAAGCGAGCTTTAGGGGCAGAGCTTGTCTCCAATCTGGGACACTTGGTGTTTGGGCCACCATCAGTCATGCTATCATAATGTAACCTTTTGTGGCTTTTCTCACTATCACAAGCAGATTCAGGGCTTTCTTCCACTTCAACTACACAGCGTCTATTGTGACTTAATTTTGGTGGAGATGCTTTTGTTTCAGATGTGTTATGTGGAGTTTTGAGCATCTGCGTTGGAGATATTAGATTTGTCATATCCATTTTTGTAAGACAAACCACAGCATTTTTCATCGGAGAAATATTTTTCTTCTGTTCAAGTAGGACTCCTTTAAAGCTTTGTAGTTTTGGTGTTGACTTTTGTTTCCTTTCTGACCTTTGTGTATTTTTAGTGGGCGTATTTTCTTTAGAATCTGTTGCTGAATCTGAGTAAAAATTAAGATCTTTCAAAGAGCTACTGCAACTTTCAGTGTCTGCTATAAGACTAGCTAAGCTCTTTCGAGCTTTGCTTGAAGTGGATGATGTGGTGTGCACACTGGCACAGGAGTGAGTGGACGACGGTGTTACAGGTTGGTTGCGAAAATGCGGTGTTGCTGGTGTAGAAGCCGAACCGCCGCATTTTGACTCAGGGCATGAGTATCTTGTTTGATACTTCTTAAGTGTAAATGGTGACTTCATGAAATTCTTTAAATCATTAGTTTCTTTGAATTTTTTTGTAATGCTTCGAGTTTTATCTGTGAACAAAAAAATAGTAGTAGTTAAAAAATTAATAAATGTAATTTTTATATATTAAAAAAGTAAGTTTTAATACTAGTGTCAGATGTATTTGAGTTTATACAAATGCTACAGAAGCATTAGTTTTATACTACCTAGTAACTACTTAGTAGCTTGTAACTTTTGTGTATCACAAGCTTAGATAAAGTGCCAGAGACATCTCAAATCCAAAAAACCCAAAAACCATACTACTAGTGTTTAGCACAAATATTGGTTTTAGATGAATACTATACAGTGCTCTGGCTTCAAGACCAGGTATTGTTCATAATAATTTATGAAATTGCCATTTAGTGGTGATGTTAAAGTGAAGTTACAGCCTGTGCTCAGCAGTAGAATGTATTCTACTGCTGAGCACAGGCCCCCTCTCACTTCTGAGAGGGTTTAATGCAAGAAAATGTCTGCAGTTCTGCAGCAATGTGTTAGCAGACACCACATCTTCGAAATATATTTTTTTGTATTTCACATGGTAAATCTGTAAGTAGTTAATTTTTATGTGTTAGTTTTGCAACTAACAATTTCACCAATTAAATTGTAAATTGCAAAATTGCAATTAACAATTTCATTGGCACCATTGGGGATTGAACCTGGGTTGCTCACATACCGTAAAGTTTACAGCAAGCACTAAGCCCATGAGCCACCACGGCTCTATCATAAGACAGTTTATACATGGCTCAGTCACATTTTAGATATGTGGCCTCAGCCAGCTAAAAGCCCATACACTCACAGAATACCAGTTTGATATATCAAATTAATGCTGTAATGTTTTGCCATGATGAGTGTAGAGAATGGAAGACTCTTTTAACTGGTAACTAAGTTACTAAATTCTATCTTAGTCCTCAGGGGTGACCTTGCAACTACATTATGAATCTTATTCAAGGATATAATATGTAGGTGTCTATAGGCAACAATATGCACTTACCATCAGGTGGACTACATGCTCATTTTTCATCAATGAACAGTCTCATGGCTTCCAATAAATGGATGTATAGCCAATTTTGTAATATCTAGCAACAAGAATAAACTCTTTCAGTTCATATTGCAGTGATTGTCATTTATGCTTTTTAACTATGACTGTAACTATACTATGACCAAGCCTGAGCTCCTATTAAGAGAAATCATAAGTTTTTAATTAAATAATGGTTGAGTTGTGCAAACCTTATATAGTACACATACAGGCTTACATACAGGCTTTTTAAAAAGAATGGAAGGATATATAGTATAGTTGATAATATCAGGGAGAAAAGAGGTTCCACTTTACGGGAAAACAGATAACAATTACTTCCATCCAAACTGGAGGAAAGGATTTAAAGGATATGTAGTTATTTAAAATTCGAGTTAGAACAGAAAGGATGATATTAATCAAGGAGATGACCATCTTAAAGCAACTCCATCCAAAAACCACATCATATTTGGAAAATTGATTGAAATTCAAAAGTACCTCATAAAACAACTCAAATTAAAAAAACCAAATTATTATTACCATACTAGGTAGTACCAGAATTACTTGGAAAATTATTTCCACCTTTACTACGCTGGTAAGCAGGTTAGTAAGGAGTTTGTTAAAATGGAGTTCAACAATTATGGGTTGATTTTTTGTCACTAGATGATTGCCAGCTCCTTGACTGCGGTACTAATGAATAAAATGTAGAAACAAAGTATAGTATTACACAATTGTAAATGCCTAAAATGGAATTTTTCTTTAAAATAATGGCATCCATACACTAAAATATAGTATAATTGCTTGATTTAAGCATTCTTAAATTGGCCAATATGTGTTCAAGATAATGTTAACTGCAAACCCTATGATTATTTAATTATAATTTTATTTTTAAAATACTCACGCCATAGAGATCTCTCTGGAGTTTTAGGTGTGTTTTGATCAGTTTCCTCTCCAGAACTTGAATCAAGTGTGCTGATGATACCAAGGTCATATTCATCACTGTCACTCTCACTGTCAACAACAGGAAGCCGACGGTGCTTAGTCAGGGACTCCGGTTGTGGTGCTATTTCTCCCTGAAATAACCCCTTTTTGCGTTCTGTCATTTTGGGCGTATGAGTGTGTGGAATGCGCAAAGAACGCCGAGGTGTAATTGCAGCCATAATAACAAATCTTTTTGGTTATTTTTATTCTTTATATTCAGTGATAAACTTCTCCCATTAGTGAAGTTACGGAATTGGCGCCACAATGAGATACATTACAATTTTTCTAAACGCGATAGACAAAACTTAACAAGCATTTTATACAACTTTTTTAGCATGCACTTAATAAACTTCAGTTTGCTAATCGGCTATTGTTGTCCAAAATTAGGCAAAAAACACTTTTTAATGGCATCTAGATACAACCACAACTAGTTCCCAATTCACAATTGATTGGCGCGTAAACAATTGTCAAAAGTCAATGTTGCCAGATGCCTCGAACTATTTATCTGTATTAGAAACTGCTACAATCTGTATCAAATCTGCATGCTATTTTAACTTTAAATCTGTATAATCAAATAAACCAAAATAGAATTATTGTCCTATTATCATCATTGCTTCTTTTAAAAACGAGGGATAAGTACCTAGTAACGTTACAAGGTTTGATTATCTTTATTAAATAAAAATATACACATAATTTTTATATAACAAAATTGAAAACATTAATTTAAACAAACAATATATAAAATTCAAACATTTGCAACAAACGAACTAATAATTACTTTATTTTTTCCAGTCATATATATTTTTTGTTAAATTTCAACAGTAATTTATTGTCAACCTCTAGCTTATATGAAGGTGTTCAACCAATCAGTTGCTTCGTATGTAAAAGACCTTCAATAGTATCTTTATTAAGTCTATTGCGTTGTTTTGTCTTTATTAAATTTATAGATCAGAAGATCCTCTCTACGGCGGCACTGAAATGAGTAGACTTAAGATTGCAGAAACAAATTTGAATAGCGTAGGATATAATTGATTGCAGTAGTTAACAGGATCACGGGCTGCAGTGACTTTACACCAGTACGTTTCGAGATCTACTGAATCATCAGGCGCTAAATATTTATTATTATGCAAAAACCGCCACTCTGTGTCTAGTTGTTGCAGTTCATTACTGAGATCAAATTTGGAAACTTTACTGCCAAAGAGACCAATGAGTCAATTCTACGAGACTTGACAGCTTGTGGGTCAAGAAACTGCATTTGTATAAACACATCATCTTATACTTCCTCAACTTTTCTTTCAAATAAATGCTTAACACATACCCTATCTGTGCTTTAATCGACGTTAACGATTAAAGAAAATTTAAGTGTTACCTACTTTTCTATTGTCATATGTTTTGCAGTTATGCCAGTCACATTTTTACTATAGCTGTAGATTTTGTTCTGTCACAGTTAATACTTTTTGTGATTTGTGAATTGGGCACATGTTTTTTATTAATTGTGGCAAGTGTTCCATAACGTTCATGGGAATATTATGTTCAGCTATTAACGCTGCGAGCAAAATTTCTCCTCTTTTGACTGGTTAAATATACTTGTTTGAAAACAAATCTGTCATTAAATGTTTGAGAGCTAGATCCACCAGGACTTGAATTTACGTGTTTGTTTTCATGTGTCTGAAAAGATCATTCTTCCTAGCACTTCCAGCTGAAGGATCTGTATTAAAAATGTACAAAAAGCAAAGTAATCACCTTTATTACTAGGTCTCAACCACGCCTTATAGGAAGAATCTTCCATCTAATTCCGATTAAACTTTTGCATCACTCTGGATTTTTTAGATGCCATAATGGTTCACAAAAACACAATCAATTAATATTTAATAAAAGTTTGTATCTATGTTTTTAAATATTTACGTATTACCTACGCACACACGACCTTGGACAGCACGCACAAATCTCCGGGGATTTCCCGAGCAGAGCGAGTGACACTTGTAATGCTGCCATACTATTTAATTAATTACGTTCTGAAAAAATAAATTAACCGTAAAGAATAGAATCATGCATTGATGTGTAACGCAGCATCTAGTCATATTTTTTCTTCATTTTTTTTCATTGCTTCGTACTGTTTTAAGTTAACTATTATTGTAATTTAATCAATAGAATTAGAAAACTCTGTATAAAAATCTGTAGCCAGTGCTAATATGTATTACACACCGAAAATCTGTATAAATACGGAGAAATCTGTATATATGGCCACACTGTATGCCAGTATTTAATTTACGTAATGATACCATATTACATACATTGAAACCGAAAACCTTAGTTGAAAATCCATGAGCTACCGTAGTCACAGTAATCAGTATCAGTTGAATTATATTTATTTCATACTTTTATGATTACAGCAGTTTAGCCCCATGACGCTAGGCTAGGCATAATTCTATAGATATCGTTCTATTAGTAATGTCTTACCTTAATTGAAATATTTGCCTACAATTCCATTGTAGGTAAATATTAGGCCCTTGCGTATGAAATTAGCGTTTTGTCGTACTGACCACTTTGATCTGAAATGTCTCCAATTTGGCTGGTACTTTTGAGTTTTGAAAACAGTCATTCATAATGATTTCTTATATTTACGCGAACACTACACATTGATTAAAACTACTTTTACGAATGTTATCGCGTTTAATTTTAATTTTAATTATTTTTAATTCCTGACATTTCAGGTGCTTTCCAGCACTCATGATCACGGAGGACTGAGGTGACTGACGTCCCGATGTCATTGTTGAACCCCCGAAGGTACTCCGGGTTTAACAATCACATCGGGACGCCAGTCACCTCAGTCCCCCGTGACTCGGGGGTTTAACAATGACATCGGGACCTCAGTCACCTCAGTCCCCCGTGACCATCTGGAAAGCACCTGAAACGTCGGGAATTAAAAATTAAAATAATTAAAATTAAAATTAAACGCGATAAAATCCATAAAAGTAGTTTTAATCAACAGTTATTCATTTGTTTTTTCCTCATTTTTTTTTCTTTGGTGTCGTTTATTACCGCACAATGGAAAACATGAAATATCGGTATATTTACGAGTACCTACGAGCTCTACCGTGGTACCAGTGCTGCAGAAGCTCGAAGGATTGATGAAGTGTACGGCGCTGGTTTCGCAAAAGAAATCAGGGTACGTTTTTGGTTTCAACGTTTTCGTTCTGGAAATTTCGACCTTCAGAACCAACCCCGTGGACGGCCGGAAATTAAAGTGGAAAATAAAGAATTAAAGGCTATTGTGGAAATAGATCCATCTCATCACAAAGCACTTCAGAGATAGCTGCAGGCTTCGGGGTAAGTGATAAAACTGTATTAATCCACTTAAAGCAAATCGGGAAAGTAAAAAAACTTGAACGATGGGTATCTTCATGAATTGAGTGAATCGAACTTGCAAACACGCTTCGGCTGCTGTGTTACTTTGCTCAACCGACACAAAAATGAAGGGATTTTAAATCAAATCATTACTTGTGATGAAAAGTGGATATTGTACGATAATCGGAAGCGCTTGTCGCAATGGCTGAACCCTGGAGACCCAGCCAAATCCTGCCCTAAATGATCAGAAATCAGAAAAAGTTACTTGTGAGTGTTTGGTGGACTAGCACCAGTGTCGTTCACTACAGCTTTCTAAAATCTCGCCAAACGATTACGGCAGATATCTATTGTCGGCAACTGCAAACCATGAAGAAAGAACTAGCAGCTAAACAACCGAGATTGATCAATCGCTCTAGGCCACTGCTGCTTCACGACAACGCAAGACTAGAATGAAAAAAAGACAAGAAGAAAATTCGAATATTGAGACTCGCCGTTGTGGACACCCATTTTTACTAAAATTTCACCTGATGATATAATAATTACTAGAGATGTAGCCCTAGATTGTAACCCGGGTTGGCAATGATATAATATTCGTTCCTGGATTAAGGCGTCGCACGAATACGTTGCGCCCTGACGACTTGACGCCCTCACCCTCTGATGCTGTAATGTCTTGACGCACTGACGCCTTGACGCTCCGGGCTACCGGCCAGATCGCACCGCCCGTGCCACTTACTGTGGCACACTATATGACAGACTGTTTCAGACGACGTATTTTTAATATATTTAGTTTCCTCGACTAAGGCCCGGACTCCACCAAAGCGGAGACGAGACGAGAGGAGAGATGTGTTTTAAAGAACCAATTTCGTTTTTCACACATATAGCCTCCACTCAGCTTCAGCGGATTCCACTGAGCGGAGATGTATCATATTAATTTGTAATGCGCGATCCAAGCGGAGATGTGAGCTGTGCCTTGCAACATACACGGCAAGCGCTTGCGGAGACGGGAAGAGAATGTGAGCGGCATGCAATGACTCCAGACTAGTTTCTTCTTCTTCAAGTAAAATAAGATACAGTTTTTGTAATAATGACATGACTGAGAGGTCTGCCCTTTGTATCAGACCACGCTGAACTGTGCATTCATCTCATCATCCTATGCTCGCCGCAAGTAGCTCTGTTCTGTTCTAGGCGGCGCACATTTCCGGTCCATTCTAGCCAGTACGCATCTCCTCTCAACTTCGCTGGATACACCCCTAGCTGAAAAACATCTATTTTTGGCTCCGCTTCGGACATCTCCGCTTTCGTGGAGTCCGGAAATTGTTGGTAATTTACAAGGAATATAAAAAGTAGTGTTTTTTAGCCGACTGCAAAAAGGAGGAGGTTCTTAATTGGATTGTGTCTAAGCACAGAAATCGTAATAATAGGACAATAGAAATTAATTAGCGCTCGATTACTTCCAAAACCGATGTCGCCACGTCTTACCGTATTATAGACATACGCAATGCACAATGATATTAAATGTTCACATTACATTGTTAGGCGAGTTTGTCAACGTCGCGTGTCGCGTATTACGGTAGAACAAAAGCAGCAATGGTAACTGTACAATACGAAAAGTAATAAATGAGTTTGCAAAGGTAAATGTCGTAGTAAAGTATTCATCCAGATGTAAATTAATTAAAACAATGATAATTAATAAATTATCAACTTACTGATGAAATGTTATGCCTTTATTAGTTTAATTACACGTTCTTGATGAGTTTTTACAACTGATTATGTA